CTAGGTCAGTATACAATACGCTTTGTGTACTACTTAATAAAAACGAGTGTAAATAAACGTTTACCACTCAGTACATAACATACATATGTACCTACATACTAGTACGTTGTTTTATGGTTCAGTGGATTTATAGCGAATGTTGTAACTTTGTTCAATTGCAGGAAAAAAGTACTACGCTGTTGGGATTCCCAAAAGTCTTCAATATAATATAACAATAGATAATCTCCGACCTCGTTGAGGACACCAAATTAGTGTTCAGTAGAGCCATAATTAGTCCAGGGACTAGGCGCGGCCTACACTGTGCACACTGTGCACCCCGCTGTACTATGGAATTATATTACTTTATCGTACATTTTTCTGTTTTATACTCTCGACGTTTATAGCGCATGTTTTATCAAACATCATGCCTATCTGACTTGGAAATAACGTATTGAATTCGATCAATTCGATCGACTTCAGGTTAAACTCGCTATTGCTTCGGACGATGCCGATTTCCGATTCGAAACACAATTTCATCGAAAAGATTTTAAAGAATATTCCGAATAAGTTATTTGAGCAAGTTGTTCGTAAGTTGGTGACAGTTGAAGCGAATTTATTCATATCATACCTACTCTCAGTGAATTTTATTCCTGTTTTTATAAGAACTATCGTGGGACATACTAAATTAATTACAATCCGTAGACCGCGCACGCTGCTCATGAAGAAGAACCCTTCTGTGGTTCGAAACTAGTAGAGCTTTTCTCAGTATATTCACGTGAGTAACCCGTGATGTTTAGTTAATTTGGTTCCTGTTCCGATTCGTTTTGTAAAATGTCCGCAAAACTTATTGTTTAAGACGTCACATATTTTTATAGGAGTTTTTGTGTCGATATGATATGATTGAATCATTGGCTGCGGTGGCTCGATGTCAATATTATTAGTAAGTAGACACTGGAATGACACAATAGGTTTTTCCCAACACCGGCTCACTAATTCTTTTCACTTTACCCAACCCAATTTATTGAACTTTGGTACATTACTCACTTAGAACACCTAAAGTCGTACAGTCCCCGATACTATCACGTAGAAGCTCGTAGGTGCACAATGATCCGTCCAGTCCTCGGATTCGTTTTTCCCACTCGACGTCAACGAGTGACAAACTGCTTTGTCAAACTTCAATTCCGTCGTCAGTGCTCAAGTGAAATATTGTCAAAGTTCTAGACGTCACTTCCAGTATGTAAGGAATGAGGATTTGTGAGTTGGGTACAGATTTTCGATTACACTATGATTTAAGATTCACTATAAACCAAGACCTGCCACTAGCTTATTATGTCTTAGTAGTTTACATTTTTTTCTAAAATTTAGCTGAGTAGTCGTAACCTAGACCTTTAATACAGAATGATGTATGTAGGTATGTATATTAGTCAATACTAGGACCTGTCCCATGTCACCTGGGACCTCACAGTAAACTGTAGGTATACGACATAACACCTCCCTATAAGTCACGTTGTGTTTGCCCTTCTGGGATCCGAAACAGTTACGTTGCCAAGTGCTCCAGGTTAGCGAGGCTCAGAGTTTATGTTTCGTGAGAAGACCATGCTCCTATTTAATTATGTTGCTCCACGATAACGTTTTGCTTATTTGTTTTATTAATGTTTATGCCAATACAGATCCTCTTATAGAAATAATTGCAAATATTCAATGGGCCCATTTTAGTTTTTAATTGTGGATGGTCGTGGCTAAATATGAATTAGCACTCAGTGTCCTCGTCAGATGAGCTAATTATGTGCGCTATGCAGTTCCCATGACTAGGCCCAGTAGAGGTGGACTGTCAGTGGGCCTCGTCAGCGGGGCAGGCGGCAGGGGGCGGCCGGACCGACAGCATTCCGAGCGTGACTCAGCCGGACGCGACCGCGTACCTAACTGTCTTATAAATTCATTTTAGCCATTTTGTCCTACAGCATCATCATCTTTGAGGAAGTTCTTAGTTTTCGGTACGAAGAGTTTGTTGAAGATTCTGACTCAGACCTTAATAAATGTAGCTTCGCAATTTGACGTTTGTCGAATGAATTAAATGATGTTTGCATTTATTGAGACTAAATTAACAAAAAGCTTTAGCGTCGTCAAAGTAAGATACGTAATGAAATTAGACCGAACTTTTTGTAATGCGCATTTAACTAAACAAAGAAAAATCTAGAGGAAAGCAGGTAAAATATTGGGCACCATTATCGCAGCAGTAGGTAAGCTACAGTGTGGCGCCGCAAGCTGTAAGCGGTCGCGCATCACTATCCGACGGAATGTGTTCGGCACGACATGTATGTAGGCAACTAGGCACAGTAAGGAAGATAACAGTTAGACTAATCTAGACCTCAACTTAGAACTAAAAATTATTTTTTTAAATGCATTTTCAAAAATTGTAACAGAATTTTGTCGTAAAATCCTCATTATCTACAGATGTTTAACTACTCACCAAACTGCTAAGTTATAAACTTACAACCTATACTTAAAGAAAGTAGATACATACCAAACAAACAACAGCCGTCTGCACTAGTTCACTGAAACTACGTATAAACCAATTACCAGCACTTGTGTAAATATATTTTACCCAAATGTTAGCAGTTTCTGGTAAGTGGAACACATGATCAATGGCGCCATTATTATTATTTTATAAGAGTATAATATAGTACATACAATTACAACCTGGAGGCTGTAGGCGACATCTCCCTTCTCACTAGTAATTTGCGCAATTTTTATAATCAAGGAAAATGTACTGCTGTGCAATAACAGACTAAGTTTACTTATCATGGTTGCTCATTAGTGTTTTTATAACAATAAACTATTTATGTAGATAGTAAACAATTAAGTACTAGTAGGTAGTATGAGTAAGAATAGCTCAGAACAATAAAACGTAACGAAGAAATTGTTTTCACAGACGTCTGGTCACTCTAGTGTATTAACGAACGTATACAAGCTTTTGATTTATCATATTTACTAGGAATTTATTTGTGAGCAACACAATTCAAATGAATTACATTAACAGATAAACATCAAGAATTTGTTTCAAATTATGTGTTAATTGGCACCGCGGAGTTAATCTCATTCATATTATTCACACACATTTTAAGAATACTCTTGTGATTTAATGAGTCTATAAAAATACGTCGAATGCTCATTCATAACTGTACACGCTGCCACAGCAGGCGACTCAGGGCCGACGACCATTGGCCATACAATACACGGGACTATTCATTATAAGAAGCTGGCAAATTACATCCTAATTACAACATAATTAGCGTCATTTTTAATTAACTTTTAATTAGAAGTAGAAAGAGGATTCATCGATTGAGTAGAAATATCTTGACATTATATTGTACGGTAAATAGCCGTGAATATCGTCTTCGCAAATATGGAACACGTTAAACGCGTTATCTACCACACATGCTAAGCCACCGTTTATATTACATACAAGATGATGTTCAATACTGGAGGAAAGTCACAAGAAGTGTAATATCAGGCTGAAACTAGATTCTCGTATGAAAGAAATAATGTTTAGTTGTATCGTGTGTGGTGGCAGTCGGGTCACGTATTTGATTGCCTTTCCGACAGCTGCCAGCCTCCAGCATCCCTCCGACATCTCGGGCTCGCAGCCACTTGACACTGATAATATGAAACGATACTGACTACATGTCAGTTGACAGTGACGAGACAATGATATACTGACACTTCCAACTATCACGAGGGATATACAGAAGCGATTTATTAGGTACTATCACCGATTATATTTGTTCCTTAATATTTGCTCTGACTTTATACTAAGCTATAATAGTTGGAAAAAACAATGCATTGCTATTAAAATACACAGCAAAACTCATTGTGTCGGCACAAACAATACAAAAACAAGCACTCACACAACAACAGCACCAATTTAGATACGTCGATAATGATACCTTCGCGCAATATCAATAAAAATATCTCGAGAATGATACTTGAAATATTGAGTGTAAGAACATTAAGATACGGCCGCATTCCGGCACGGGCCCGGCGCCCGGCGCCCGGCGACAGGAAAATAAGTCGGTGCACTTTCTCAGGCGCCGGGAAATACCGCACTCCGTCATATTACCTTTATCAAACTATTTGATCTTGTACACTGGGCCAACTACAGCGCTCCACAGGTTATCGTAACTTTATTTTATATCAACATGTTTTATACAATTTTATTGCGTCTCACACATTTTTATACAAATTAATGCAAAAACAAAGAATCGTCTACGAGAAAAATGTTCATAAAAATAGTTGAAATAATTCTTTGATCTACCACCTACTGCTACAGGTAATAAAACAATGAAGATGTCAAAGGCGACTGACTTCAAAGTATGTGGACAGAAAGAATGTTTAATAAGGCGGGAGAGCTTTTCATTAAAATCTATTTTTGTGTAGCGAAGCCTCGGCCGCGGTGTTCGTGTCTACATAACGACCGTCTCGAATGTTGCGTGAAGATATAAAACTATATCCTGATTAGGTTCTAGTCAGACGTGAGAACTGAGTGACGTCATCACATATGACCTTCGATTCCGACGCATGACTCAACTAAACATATAAAAACGGTCCGCCACACCGGCTGACGATGCCTAATATTTATTTAAAAGGAAAATAAACAAATGTCGGTATAATTATATACCTACAGAAATAGTATATTTTATTACATTTAATTTGCGCATCAATATTGTTATTATCAAAACAAGTTGTTGTTTGCAAATTGAACTGGTTTTTGAATTAAATAAATTGACACGTTGGGCCGCTGGGATTGTTGACTAATTTATTTCAGACATGGTGCATTACTTTTTTTGTTGTTGTTGTCCTTTACAATGATATTAGTTTGCGGTAAGTCTACGTATAAGAAGAATGAATCTTATATTTGTATATTAATTTAAACAATGACTAAATATCTTTTGCCACAATCCTGTCCAAAGTCTTCAAAAAATTATAAACCATGTCCTTTATTGAAATAATGTTTGACTTACCGGCTCGACAGAGAACAACCATGCTGAGCGATGCCAGCAAGAGGAACGTGTGTCTCGGCGGCGCCATGTCGCCTCGCGATCTGCAACAACCAACGAACAAACATCAGCATACGCGTAACATTGTCACTGCATTTATTACTTCGAAAGGCTTCGGTTAATTGATCAACAACAGTGTTATCTAAATGTTTGACAGACAAAATATTCAGTCTAAAGAAAAAGCAAGCTCACAAGACTATCTGAATTCTAAATGGTTTTCCCCAAGTAAAAACACCTACTACGTATGCTGTTGGCATTTCTGCCTGCTATCACGTAGTTTACAAGGCAATCAATCGCCAAGTAAGAGCACTAAACGAAAATGCATATCAGGCGCATCGCAAAAAGCGGCGCCTGCGCAGCGTCGCGGTCGACGACCTAACTCCCGCGCAATCACATCCCCTAGATCAGCCTCCGTAATATTACTCGAGAAAAAAGCCTGTTTGATGATCATTGCACAAGAGCCAATGCCCGGAGCCAGTTTAATAATAATAAAACTACGCCATTTTGTTTTTGTAGATACGTATAGGCACTGTACATAACTATGTTTTAACTACGCTTTTTAATTTTTTGCAGTCAGACGCAGAGGACAGCTGCAGTTTGCAATATTCTGAAAAGAACTTTTCACATAACTATTGATTAAAAATAGGCGAACTTAGAATAACATAACGCGACGCATGAATAACGTAACACCCTATTAGGACATCGAGCCACGTAAACAGAATACAAAAGCAGCACCTAATTCCCTAGCAGACGATTGGACAATTACATGTGCAAATAATATATTAACGACTGCAATCACTGGCCACTTACTACAAGTAATGGCGGCATTAGCATCAGTAAACGGTTTGAACACAAATACTTAGAATCAATCAGATTACCGTCCCTCGGGCCGGGAGCCAAGCGGCTCAATAAATAAACGACGACACCCACTTATCGTCATCCATCCACCCACTGTCCCATTCTGGGAGACAAATGTCCCCCGATATGGGAACCATGTCACATTAATGCCATCCTCGCACTGGACCGTAACCACTCAGTGACTCGCGCGAGTCCCGCACATATTGCACACGCAGTAAGTAAGGACTCGTTTACGAAGACCTACTGACTCACGTCTTATAAGGAAAATTTACCTAATATTCAGACGCAGTGGGCGCCACCACGTAATCATTCTAGAAGATTGCCCAACTATATAAGGACGCAAATTTCCTGAGTACCTAACAGTTAATTTAATTAAGAAATAAGTACCCATTACGTTAAAGTTTTACTTTAATATTTTATTACAGTTTATGTACCTAGATTGGCATCATCTTGTACCGAGTGCATACCAATATTATTCATATCATGAGGATTAAGAACACGAGCAGTACGGTGTTAGTGGAGCAGCACCCTCATTGAGACGGTTGTCCAGAGTCCGCGGCGCGCGGGTGGACGACCGCGCAAGTGATTGATCAATCGCATCGTATCGCTCTCAATAGGATAATGGTTGCCCTGCTCCGTTACCTCCCGGCGCGACGTGGCCACCGTGCGAACTGCTCCCTGGGAACATTCCGCCGCCCGCACCGACACACTGCCGTTATGTGACACTCCTGTTACTAGGCTCTTTACTCGTTGTTTGTTCGTGAGGAAATCTTTCGGAACTCCCTAAAAATATAACTTGAATCACCAAGTTACTATGAAGGAAAACTTTTGTATATAATATATTTCTGGGAATGTGAGACAGTACCTACACTACATAGAAGAAACGAATCGTTCAATATAACCACAACTAGGTAACTTTACTTAAAGGAAAACACTATTAAAACTTGTACGATTTCTTTGAAGTACGAGAGAGCTTTTATGTTTTATGTTAGGAACTCGAATGTTTTATTTATCGAGAGGTTCATGAATATTTTCTCTTATTGGAACTGTTGACACTGAAATTGTAATTTGGTAGCAAACGTAAACACGTACAGAGAACATACTGAACAGCTGTCAGGCTGCTGAGACAATGTACGGTGTAGTAAGTGGCTGCTCAGTGCTCAGTGCTCAGTGCTCAGGGTGCGGTATTGTTGTGGCACAGCTGAGCAAATTTTGCGGCGCTTCGTGATTTATATAGAGAGGCTCACTCGTAATGGCAATTTCAATTACCATTTGTAATCAACCATTTATTTTGTAAAATAATACGTACTTCTTTCATTATACCTACTAAGAATATTTTCAAAGATTTGAATATACTTTTGTCCGATAAATGAGTACCTAGCATCCTAATAATTACATAAGTAAACATTCAGGTTTCTCCATTCGTCTCGGAAGTTGGACGACAACAAAAGATTTACATAATATCTTCAGCGAGCCCGGCACTCGACAAGTACCAGCATAGATCGTGAGGTGGGCACAATGCGACCAGCTCCTCATTACTTATACCAACACTTGACAGATAATCCTCTTGTGCGGCGTTACATGAGTGGCGCGGGCGCACGTCACCAGACACCGGACGCGAAAGTAAAAACTTACACAGACAGACAGAATTAGCCACTACTACAGTTCCTATGTATACAGTTCATATGTAGACATAAAGACATTGTAGAACTAGAAGTTTCAAGTAGTTTACCGTGATGCTGGCGATTAGTTTGATGCACTGCATACAACTGTATATTTGATGAGCCTCACGTCACTTTGCTGCAATGCCTCAGGCTACCTCCTTAATACGTACGTCTCTCTAATGAGGATTACGACGTCAACAACTTTGTAATAAAAATTAAAAACTACCGCATTTGAATTTACATTATTTACGTTCTTGTGTAATTAAAGTGAAGTCTGCATTGAACAGGAAGTCGGTTTATTATTATTGATTACTAACTCTTGCCAGCAGCAGACACTAATGCAATTAAATCACAATGCAGCAATGTTGCGAAATGTACAACATAAAGTTAATATCAAAGACAGATGTGTTTACAGAGCAGCACGCGACTAATACAACAATAATTAATAAACACATTATGCAATAGTTTACTATAGTATTGTAAACATATTGATAATTTAAATATACAATCATGACAATATCTATTAATACCAGCAGTCAATGTTATAGAGCCGGTACAGATATGTGGTGCAGCACCTTTCTAATGCAAATACCGCGTGTGATACAGACCTCATCATCAGTCAGTGTCGCGCTTTAGATAACAGACCTGTACTGATCTACTGATAACATACCAAAGTACATTAGAATATATCCAGTCATTACTGATCTTCAGTCTTGTTTAACTGCGAATTTCACGACACGACAAATACACTAAACTTATTAATACCGCTCAAAGTTCTCAGTCAACTAACACAGTGATGCTAAGTAACACGTTATGAACTTGTTCAATGTTGCCAGGTATCGAACAAACATCATTTCGGCACAATGCTCGTCATTACCGCGGCTCGAGTAAAAACTGCGAGAAAAACTTCATAAAGATATTAGACGGTGTTCGCGTCACTCTCCGCGATAACTATTATAACGTACCTACCTACGTAAGATTCACAAAAACTAATTGTTTAGCAAAAACCTTTGAAAACATTGACGATTTTTTTCTGTACAACTTCTTAAAAATTCTTTAATGTTCATCGTTCATGCTTTTATGTGTATAGAAACTTATAAACGCTAACAATATAACTGAAACGATCAAATATAAATCTTGTTACAATGGCGTTGTAACTCAAAGTTGTTTGCGTTAGAAATCAATAGATGTTTCTAAGTACTACTTTATCTGTGTTTCGGTGTTCAAGTAAATTTTACGTCAAATTAACTCATGATTAGTAAGAGCGCGCGACGTTTGATAGAGCTCAGTGCACGTTATGCACGGTGCACGGTGCACTGTACATTAATTACGCAACTTTCATTATCGTCAGCCGCACAATTATCGATAAATACGCGAATCGATTGTAAAATAATCGATCGTTGTATCAATTAGCACTCATTGCGCTGTTTTGCTTAAAACAACTGTTTGCGGTAATAACAATTTTCTTGTGCAATGACTTGTGACGTACGGAATAGTTGGCAGCCACCTCGTGTACTGTAGTGACACGTTAGCGTCGACTTCGAACCTAATTGACAAATAGGTTTCAGTAGAATTGTATCATCATTATCAATGTATGAACTAGGCTGAGTTTATTAGCTGATTGATCTGTAACCGTCGGCTCAGGCAGGCAAGTGGTCACCGGCCTTAATATTGCACAAGTCCGTTGACCCAATAATAAAGTATTGTATTGTAGCTGTGAGCTAGCGGTGCTGCTGGCGCCACTGTTTACTATTGACAATCAAGTGTCGGCGCCCCGAACACTTTTTGTCGATCCCAATTCAGAATTCTGATTATAAATTGCGGTTTGTAATTTTTTGTGGCGATGGCATGTTGTGAGGACGTGCGTGATCACTCGACCGTCCGAACAACAGGTGCCATGTAATTGCGACTTGTTCGGTTCGAGTCCATTACGCTGCGCTCTGGAATAACATGAATATAGAAATGATTGCACTGTCAGAAGAACTAGACAATATTTGCAATGGGAAAATTACGGCCAAGTTTGAATTAAACATTGATGAAGTTACATACAAGGAACTTCATTAATGATTTTAAATTTACGTTTCCTTAGTTATTAAATATATTGAATATCGAAACAAGCCCGTGGACAGTCGGATCATCGCTCTCAACGGTACGTGTAGTTCGGCCGAGTCCGACATGACACCGGCCGCGCCAGCGCTCTGCAAATATTGACCAGCATCTAACCCGCATTCCTCGCGAACTGGGCGCGTGTTAACTAACATACAACCTTGCTTATATATATAGAGTGTGCTTCGTTACCTTTGTCCTATTGAGGAACCTATAGGAATAAATGCTTCCATCATGTAGAACTTTGAATTAATAGTATTAAGTAAATTGTTTCCTAAATACAGCAGCATAGAACTAATTTCAATTTAATTTACTTTGATTTTATATCAATGGTAATAAATGGGTGTGTACAATCTGTTACAAAAACATGCATTTTTATGCGAGAACAATTTGATGACGTAAATTATAGACAACGAGTA